TTTTTTTGCCATAGGCCTTTTCTCTGTCTGCTTCTTCTCAGTCTACCTTGTCAGTCCATATTGTGTGTTGTTAACGTGTTTTTTTTGTCAACAGCAGCCTTTTTATCGTGTCGGCTTTCTGTTTTGATCCTATGCTTAATTATGTAATGAGCGTGATAAAGGTGGTTGAATTGTTGTTGCGATGAGTTGAGGGCAGCAAGTCATATCAACAATACGTCTTTCTGCTATTTCAGGCTATTTTAAAGTTACTATTTAAAAAAAAACGGATTAAAATTGAGACAGTTTAAACATTCTATTAAATTCTATTAAATATTATATCTATAACGGAATTAAAACCTACTTACTTCATACTAAATATTTTTACATGTGTTATAAATATTACAATACGTATGTAACATGCGCACATAGAACCTATATCTAAAATGTTTACATTGCATTTAATTTATCGTCAGTTGATTTGCAATTTCTGAATATTTAATACATACATGTATTAACAACATCCATGTAAATACACATTTGTGACTTTTTTCCTGTGACTTTTTTTTTTCCTACAATCGGCAGAACTCGGTAAAGCTAACCTTATTCGTAGGGCTGATCAAAGGCCCATAATCCACCTGATACTTGCTCTCAATAAAGTAGAGTGTCATTAATTGTCATTCAAATATTGAAACCATGATAATGGGGTTTTAAGTTACAGTAATAAACTCAATTCCCGCATATCTTGCTAATGTTCATGCTAACTCTATTACTAAGGCGAAAACTAACCCTAGTCATACCGTAGCCATGACCCTTACTTTAACCCTAATCATGCGATAGCCCTAACCCTAATCAGAGTTTCTTCCAGGCATCTCTTCGGGGGGGGGGAACGAAATGAAATTTATATAATTTATATAGATAAATAATATATACTTTTAACAGTGTCCGCCCCCTCCCCCCAAAGAAAGTCTACCGCCCCCCCCCCCCCGAAAATTTCAAGTGCCCCCCCCCCCCCCCCCCCCCGGAGAAAAAAGTCTGGAAGAAACACTGACCCTAATTACTGACTAACATGAATCCTCCTATTACAATACTACCTACAACCTGTCACACCTGTAATTAGAAGAGTCCATTATCGGACACTGGTAGAATCAATGAACCACAAACACTGTTTACATGTTATACATTTTTATTTTTAGACCTCAGGAAAAAGTGCAATATAGGCTTAATCGCGAAAATTCGGTCGCAGTTTATTTTATTTTTTAACGCAAAAGTGTAGCGGGTCACTATCTGAACCCCACCCCTCTCCCTGCCACTCATCGCCGCACACCATCACAATAAGCCCCGCCCATTCCCTGTGTGTGTGACGTCATTTATAGACAACCCACTCAGAGAAAATGCTAATTTTAACCAGCGTTCCCCTCCTCCTCCCCAAAAATTACAATTGCCCCCACCCCGCCCCCGAAGAAAAATGTCTTAAAGAAACACTGGACCCACCGACCCACCCCTGTTTCATTTATTTACAAAGACAAACCACCGCAGTGCTATATTTAGAGAAAGCACGTGACACACTATTTGCGTCCCTAGAACCGGACTAATCTAACTATACTTTTCAAAAACGTTCATAACAAGGCTTTTAGGTTTTGTTTCCTTAAAATTTTTATGTTAAGGCGAAATAAATGTGTTGAGATACGGCTACGATATCTTTAGTCATGATACCCTGGTGGATTTAGAACACAACGGTGACACCGGTGGATGAATCTCAAAACATTAAAAAATGCAGTTAGAACAGTATGGCTCTAGGGCAGCGACATGTAAACAGGCGACCGATTTCCGTGACACCTTCCAACAACCACGTGACCCGGAGCAGCGCGGGTCCGTTGAGTTTGATTTAAATTTAGATTAGATATCAGATCTAAGAAGTTAGAGGTTTTATGGGTGTTTTACAGTAATTCTAGACGTGTTCCTGTAAAGTAAAAATGTTCACTAATTTTTTAAAGAATATTTTTTATAAACTCCACAGCCAATTCGGTGTGTTGTGGTCCTACAATTTTATCAGTATCCTTCATTTTATTGGGTCCACAGTTTGACTGTGGTCCTGCAATTTTAGCAGGGTCAACATTTTAGTCCTAAAATTTTAGTGGGTCCTACAGTTTTTAGTAGTTCCTACAATTTTAGTGGGTCCTACAATTTTAGTGGGTCCTACAATTTTAGTCCTACATATAGCGTGGCCCTACAATTTTAGTCCTACATTTAGCGTGGTCCTACAATTTTAGTCCTACATTTAGCGTGGTCCTACAATTTTAGTCCTACATTGAGTGTGGTCCTACAATTTTAGTCCTACATTGAGTGTGGTCCTACAATTTTAGTCCTACATTTAGCGTGGTCCTACAGATGTAATTGTGTCTGATTTGCTTACAACACCCGCAAATGACGCCAAAACTGTAAGAGATGGCATGACCTTAACCTACCAGTGATCCAACGACCCCAACCTGCAAGTGGTCCAACGACCCCAACCTACCACTGATCCAACGACCCCAACCTACCAGTGATCCAACGACCCCAACCTACAAGTGATCCAACGACCCCAACCTACCAGTGATCCAACGACCCCAACCTACAATTGATCCAACGACCCCAACCTGCAAGTGGTCCAACGACCCCAACCTACCACTGATCCAACGACCCCAACCTACCAGTGATCCAACGACCCCAACCTACCAGTGATCCAACGACCCCAACCTACCAGTGATCCAACGACCCCAACCTACCACTGCTACCAGCGATAGCACGACCCCAACCTACCAGTGATAGCATAAACCCAACCTACTTAGTGATCCCATGACCCCTACCTTCCACTGACCTCTAGCACACTGACCCCCACCTTCCACTGACCTCTAGCACACTGACCCCCACCTTCCACTGACCTCTAGCACACTGACCCCCACCTTCCACTGACCTCTAGCACACTGACCCCCACCTTCCACTGACCTCTAGCACACTGACCCCCACCTTCCACTGACATTTAGCACACTGACCCCCACCTTCCACTGACCTCTAGCACACTGACCCCCACCTTCCACTGACCTCTAGCACACTGACCCCCACCTTATACTGACCTCTAGCACACTGACCCCATGCATTCAGCAGACGTGAACAGCCCACTCTCCTGAGTGCAGACGACCATTAATCTTCCAGTGATTGTTTGACTTCTGCTGATAGTGGGTCAGTAGTGAGTGGAATGATGCAATCAGCAGACGATCACTGGTTTAACATCCCATTAGCAGACGACAAGACCGTCACGTGCTATCAGCTGACCAATCACATGCCAGCGACTACATCTAGCACACGGCCTAATCATGACTAGTAAAACTATATTTAAAAAATCATATTGATGTCTATTTCAAAGTATTTAACTGACACAAAACTATATATTGATGTCTCTTTGAAAGCATTCAGCTGTCACAAGTTCCAAAAGCTGACCAAAAGCATAGAGCTGTCACAAGTTCCAAAAGCTGACCACGCTAGGTCTGCTAGCCCCTGGCATCTACCAGCTGGTGGAGTGTCGTCAGCAGGCAGGATATTGTGTACGTGGGTGTACATGTCTTGGTGTACATTGAAAATAAATGATACGTTGTGTACTTGTGGTGTATCCGTCCCCGTACCCCTACTCCATGTTCGAAATATTTTTCTACTGAAAAGTTCAGAGCATCTTTGACTATTTGACTTTACAATGAAAACTATTGTAAAAAAAACAACTTAACGTAGATATACAGACTCCCCCCCCCCCCCAGACACTTATACGTTTCTCCAAAATGTCCTTACTAAAACGGCATATAAACCAGTAATGACAGAAATCACTGATCCGTATCCCCACTGAATATCGTGCTCAAAACACGTTTATTCATGCTTGAATGGAGTTCTCTTTCCTGAGCACTTGGTGACGTGACGTCAGACCAATTGACGTCACACAACCTTAGCTCCTACTTGAGTACACGGAAGTTAACGTTTACGTTAAGACACAACACATTTGACAGCTCATGAAAACAACACACTCGCAATGTCGCCAAGCTCCGGTTAGAAGTGTTCAAAGGGAAGTAATTCAGAAAATATTCAAGTATAGCTTAATTTTCACGGTTCTCTTTCTTTAAATGTTTTCAACAAAATGTAAATAACAAGAGATTTCAATGGCCAGAGAAACTTTAATGATAATATTTCTAAAAAAAAAAACTATTTTGATTAGGCCTACTAAATTTGTGAATTATTTTGTTTTTCTTCAACAAGATTTTACCACGATTAAAATGTGAATACCACACAGAAACACAACTCTAAGAAAACATAACAAACTTAAGGACGGTGTCACATCATTTTATTTTTAATCACAAAATCTTTTCAAAACATCTTTAATGCTAGTCAATAATTTATAGCGTACGAGAAGCATCGAAAAAGTAAAAGAAATAATTTATAAACAACTCACACAACTTGGTCACGCTCAGTAAAACACACGAATTTTTTTCGCTTTAGATACAGTGTAATGACTATTCGGCCGATGTTTGCAAGCTTCTAACTTGCTGAGAAGGGAGATAATTTACGCGGAGAGAAAAAATTGCATTGGACAAGAAAAATAAAAACTATATTACACGTGATGCAGTCTAAGGTGCCAGAGATTACTGCTGTGAAAATGTGTGGCGTAAGCTTTCACTTAAAAACTACAGAAAACTCAACAAAATCTTAATCAGAGGGGGAAAAAAAGTTGTCTTTTGAGCTCAACTTGGCTCAAACCCTGACCCACACCCCAACCCACACCCCAACCCCTGACCTACACCCCAACCCCTGACCCACTCCCCAACCCCTGACCCACACGCCAACCCCTGACCCACACCCCAACCCCTGACCTACACCCCAACCCCTGACCCACTCCCCAACCCCTGACCCACACGCCAACCCCTGACCCACACCCCAACCCCTGACCCACACCCCAACCCCTGACCCATACCCCAACCCCTGACCCACTCCCCAACCCCTGACCCGTCCATACAGCCTATGTTAGCTGATACATTTTTCCTACTGTCAAGTTACGTTTGTTTGTTTTATTTTCTGAATCCATTAATTAAATTAACCTAAATTGTTGATTGGTGGATCTTGTAATTACTCGCGAGTAACGTGTTAAACAGAGGCGGGAAAAATCTTGAGACAGGTTCACCCCCTGGTATCTATCATAGCTGTCAGAACAACATACAGGTACAACATACAGGTACAACATACAGGTACAACATACAGGTACATACAACATACAGGTACAATATACATGTAAATACAACATACAGGTACAACATACAGGTACAACATACAGGTACAACATACAGGTACAACATACAGGTACAACATACATGTACAACATACAGGTACAACATACAGGTACATCATACAGGTACAAAATACAGGTACAACATACATGTACATACAACATACAGGTACAACACATAGGTACAACATACAGGTACAACATACAGGTATAACATACAGGTACAAAATACAGGTACATACAACATACAGGTACAACATACAGGTACATACAGCATATAAGTACATACAAAATATCGGTACAACATGCAGGTACGACATACAGGTACGACATACATATACACTATACTTGCCTATAATGTATACCATTCTGGTGTATAAAATACAGGATAATCGGTAGAGCAAGGCAGGAAAAAGTAATCAAGATAGATCAATAAAAAGGCAAAGATCATTTATCATGAATAACACAGGTAGAACAATACATAGGTAAAAACCATTCATCAATTATTGGATCACACGTCAATGTACGTACATGTTAAAATAATGCAATAAAAAAATATCACAGTACATACAGTGTACAGCCAGCAGACACATTGTGTACATCTTCAGGCTTTTTGTACACAAAATATGTACAAACAGATTGATGCCAGAATAACAAAGTATTGTTTTAAAATGTAATAAATATGTGGGCACCTGCATTTACAAATATCTAAAGATAAAAAATGTATCACAAAAATTATCACACATTTTAAAATTAAGCCATGATATTTTAATGGGTGTCACATAAAATATATGTCACAAAAGTTAAAATATTTATCACAAAAATGTAAATGTATATTACAAGTAAATATAAATATATATCACAGTTTAATCATATGATATTTGAAATGTGTAAAAAAAATTGTCATTACAAAAACACCATATCGTTACAAAAACAAAATTTGAATGAGCTCGCTAAACCCATGTTGTTTAAAGATGAATTTACAAAGGATCGACTGAATAACTTTAAATCACGATCACACTTATAGAGCTTAATCTCTAGATGTGGTGGTTGGATATGTTCCTCACGTGACCCCTAAGCCAGCGATTGGTTGGCTGGGCGTGCCGATCACGTGACCGAGTGTTTACTTGGGTTTGCCGTTGTGTCGGGTCCCTGGCTTGAAGGTCTCCTCCAGAAACTTCTCGTAGCTGATCTGCCCCGTGAGGTCACGGTCAAACTCGGCCATCACGTGGTACACCTCGTCCTCGTCCATCAGCACGTTGGCCAGTTTCAGCACTGACCGGAACTCAGGCAGGGACAGGTAGCCGGTGCCATTGGCGTCCATTTTACGGAACGCTTTACGGAGGTGCTTCCATTCTCCGGACAGCTGGAAAAACGAGTTACATTGTTACGGGAGTGTCACAGTGTTACGGGAGTGTCACATTGTTACGGGAGTGTCACATTGTTACGGGAGTGTCACAGTGTTACGGGAATTTCTCATTATATAGAGAATCTCTAACTGTAACAAAGTTTTTGCAGTAAGCTTAATGTAATATCTGGGACATATCCTTACCTTAAGACAAAGTTCGATGTCCTTACATGTCCTGAAACTAGGCTTGAATGTTGTAATGGGACATATCCTTACCTTAAGGCATTTGGTTCGATGTCTTTAAATGTCCTGAAACTAGGCTTGAATGTGGTACCGTGACCTATTTCTTACCTTGTGACACCATTTGAATGTGATACGTCTATCTATATTATTCCCTTAATCCAGATCTAATACCTCGACCGCCCTAGTTACCCTTATCTAACCTTGACCCTGACCTTTTGCCTGAGCCTGGAGGTGATAGCCTGGAGCCCCTTGTGTGGGGGGTCCACCACGTCAGACACGGGCAGCTCAGCCTGTGAGTGCTGCAGCAGGCTCAGCATGTTGTTGCCATGGCGCCAGACCTGCTTCCTCAGGGCGAACGGTCTCAGGAACTCCAGGTAGGACACTCTGTCGATACATCAGTGGTATAGGGGAAGTAGAGTGGGTCTGTATGTTAGGCATGGCTGGTGTGTAGGGGAAGTAGGTGGGTCTGTATGTTAGACATGGCTGGTGTGTAGGGGAAGTAGGTGGGTCTGTATGTTAGACATGGCTGGTGTGTGTTATAGGGGAAGTAGAGTGGGTTTGTATGTTAGACATGGCTGGTTTGTGTGATAGGAGAACTAGGTCTGTATGTTATTATTGAATCAAAAGGTGTTGACGCTTAGAGTTATTCCCCATAAGTAAATTTTACCAGGAATTCATCGTCGAACATACTACGTTATGTTCTTTGAAAGAAGTGTTTAAATGGGTTGTCTCCCCTACAAAAGCCGTTGCCTCCCCTCCAAAAGACACCCCTCTCCCCCCTACTACAGACGTACCTGCCATCGTCCTTGACCTGAAACTTGCCAATCAGCTGTTCGAGCTCCACGTTGCTGAGGTTGACGCACAGCTCCGTGAGGACCTCCCTGAACTCCTCCTTGGTGACGTAGCCGGTGTTGTAGGGGTCCATGTTGGTGAACTCCAGCCTCAGGTCGTCCCACAGGTAGTCCACCTGGGACGGGACGTTCACACACATCAGAATTAGAGGAATTCATCAACCACACACACATCAACCACACACAATGTAAATATCGTGTCCAAGTTTAGCCATTACAATACATAGTCATCAAATAGATAATTTCATTACATTTCTCATGCAACAGCAGATTTTGAAAAAATAACAATTTGAATCTTTCTTTTACTTGAATGTATAGCCTACTTAATTTCGCTAAATTGTATTCACTTCCACATTTTTGCCACACAGTTTCATCTTCCTTGCGCATGTGTAATCCAGATCTAAACTTTGACCTTACGCGCATGTCTAATTCAGATCTTACCTTTGACCTTAGGTTGTCTTGTAGCATGTCTGCAGCACAGTTGAGTTTCCTTGACCTTATCATGAAGTCCGCGTCCCCTCGCCTGGGTGGCACGATCTTGGCGTTAGGGAAGGCGGCGGACCTCAGGGAAAACCCGAAGTGGCGGACAAACTGCAAGAGAAAATTTAAACTTTTACATTTCATTCGTGCTTTAGATAATCTTAAAATATGGTGAATATAAGCTTGGAAAATTAAAGATTTTTTGTAGGATTTTTAACCCCCATTGTGAAAGTTTCAAAACAAGTTAAGGTAATTTAAGATAAGTTTTAGATAAGTGAGATAATTAAAATTTAGGGATACATTTAATATAATTTAAGGATAAGTTTAAGATAATCTCACCTGTAGATAGTCCAGCGTCTTGTCCGAGTTTGTGATGAACGTGCGCCACAAATCTCGTATCTCACCACGAGATATCTCGGGCTTGATGTCGAACCTGGACGAGATAAAACGAGATTGGGTTTGTTTCAATATGTTGTCTGACTAGTTGTAACCACCACCTATTGTTGCTGTAGTTGTAACCACCATCTAATGCTATAACCACCATCTAATGCTATAAACACCACCATCTAATGTTGTAGTTGTAACCACCATTTAATGTTGTAGTTGTAATCACCATCTGATGTTGCTGTAGTTGTAACCACCACCTAATATTGCTGTAGTTGTAACCACCATCTGATGTTGTAACCACCACCTAATGTTGCTGTAGTTGTAACCACCATCTAATGTTGCTGTAGTTGTAACCACCACCTAATGTTGCTGTAGCTGTAACCACCACCTAATGTTGTAACCACCACCTAATGTTGCTGTAGTTGTAACCACCACCTAATGTTGCTGTAGTTGTAACCACCACCTAATGTTGTAACCACCATCTAATGTTGCTGTAGTTGTAACCACCATCTAATGTTGCTGTAGTTGTAACCACCATCTAATGTTGCTGTAGCTGTAACCACCACCTAATGTTGCTGTAGCTGTAACCACCACCTAATGTTGCTGTAGTTGTAACCACCACCTAATGTTGTAACCACCACCTAATGTTGCTGTAGTTGTAACCACCATCTGATGTTGTAACCAACTGACCCATGCAGCAGCTGGTACATCGTCTCCTGACTCAGTCGTCTGGTGTTGGTCTCGTCAAGCTTGTAGAACGTCTGCTCAACTTCCTGGAACCGTCGACTCATCAGGTCTTTGATCAGCTGCAAGAACACAAAGACGGTCTGGTACACGTGTCTCAAGCTATTGTTTGATGGGCACATCGATAGTGTATTCGTTTAAACTTATGGAACATCACGGAATAGCTGATAAAAGCAAAAATCAAATGTGCTGAGTTTTGATGTTTACCTTGAAAAGTTCTTGGCTTGTCCTGTGTTTTGGCATCTGCCCCACCACCCCCTCCCCTCCACTGCCAAGGTCACCCTGTGTGTTCTCGACTGGCTCAAGGACGATCTTCTCTGGAACTGTGGGCCGTGGTCCGAATAGGCTGGGCGCTTGACCCCTGGAACAGTTCATTGGATAGTTCATTACATCTGACCTAATTACATAAGTGTCGTTTTACCTGACATTTCACTCATCTGACATCTAAATGTCATACATCTGACATGAGTTTCACCTCACCTGCCATCTAAATGCCACCTCACCTGACATCTAAATGTCAGCTCACCTGACATCTAAATGTCACCTGACATCTAAATGACAGCTCACCTGACATCTAAATGCCACCTCACCTGGCATCAAACTGCTGCATGAACTTGGTGTACATGACATTCCCGTCCTCGTCTAGCGGGAGCCGGTCAATGAAAGCCGTAAACTGCTCGTCCGTCAGCTCCCAGCTGAACCTGGACTCGATGGCCGCCCTGAACTCTTCCTGGCTGATCACGTCTGTACCGAGGTGGTCAATTTTTCTGGCAACAATGTCCTCAAGGGTTAGGACATTTCACAACACCCAACTTTGGGAGGACATTTCACAACACCCAACTTTGGGAGGACATTTCACAACACCCAACTTTGGGAGGACATTTCACAACACCCAACTTTGGGAGGACATTTCACAACACCCAACTTTGGGAGGACATCTTACAACACACAACTTTGGGAGGACATTTCACAACACCCAACTTTGGGAGGACATTTCACAACACCCAACTTTGGGAGGACATTTCGCAACAACTTTGGGAGGACATTTCACAACACCCAACTTTGGGATGACATTTCACAACACCCAACTTAGGGAGGACATTTCACAACACCCAACTTTGGGAGGACATTTCACAACACCCAACTTTGGGAGGACATTTCACAACACCCAACTTTGGGAGGACATCTTACAACACACAACTTTGGGAGGACATTTCACAACACCCAACTTTGGGAGGACATTTCACAACACCCAACTTTGGGAGGACATTTCGCAACAACTTTGGGAGGACATTTCACAACACCCAACTTTGGGAGGACATTTCACAACACCCAACTTTGGGAGGACATTTCACAACACTCAAGTTTGGGAGGACATTTCACAACACCCAACTTTGGGAGGACATTTCACAACACCCAACTTTGGGAGGACATTTCACAACACCCAACTTTGGGAGGACATTTCACAACACACAACCTAAACATGTAGGTGTCACTAATTACCTAAACATGTAGGTGTCACTAATTACCTAAAAACACAGGTGTCACTAATTACCTAAACATGTAGGTGTCACTAATTACCTAAACATGTAAGTGTCACTAATTACCTAAACATGTAAGTGTCACTAATTACCTAAACATGTGTCACTAATTACCTAAACATGTAAGTGTCACTAATAACCTAAACATGTAGGTGTCACTAATTACCTAAAAATGTAGGTGTCACTAATTACCTAAACATGTAGGTGTCACTAATTACCTAAACACACAGGTGCCACTAATTACCTAAACATGTGTCACTAATTACCTAAACATGTGCCACTAATTACCTAAACATGTAGGTATCACTAATTACCTAAACATGTAGGTGTCACTAATTACCTAAACATGTAGGTGTCACTAATTACCTAAACATGTAGGTGTCACTAATTACCTAAACATGCCCAACAATGCCAGAAAGTCACGCTGAAACATTGTCGTGAGCTGGGTCTCCATAGCGCTAAGTGTCGAGTCGGCCTCAGGACTTTTGGATCTGTTGTTAAACCTATCAGGAGGACATTTTAGGACATACGTTATATGTTAGGGCACATAACCAGTCATGGAGGACATTTTAGGACACACGTTATAAAATATTAAGTCATATAACCAGCACTTAATTACACCAGCCAACAATATGAAAACAAATGTTGAAAATTAAAACAAATATGTTTATTATGCGAGATTGTTTGAATAAATTGACCGACAATTTTAAGCAGATATCTACATTGTGTGTTTACCAGTGTCTGACGTCACATTGTGTGTGTACCTACCTGTGTCTGACGTTAGTCAGTACGGTGTGTGTGTGTATGTGTGTACCTGTGTTTGACGTCAGTCAGCACAGTGTGTGTATGTGTGTGTGTGTGTACCTGTGTTTGACGTCAGTGAGCACATTGTGTGTGTGTACCTGTGTTTGACGTCAGTGAGCACATTGTGTGTGTATGTGTGTGTGTGTGTACCTGTGTTTGACGTCAGTGAGCACATTGTGTGTGTGTGTACCTGTGTATGACGTCACATTGTGTGTGTACCTGTGTATGACGTCACATTGTGTGTACCTGTGTATGACGTCACATTGTGTGTGTACCTACCTGTGTCTGACGTTAGTCAGTACGGTGTGTGTGTGTATGTGTGTGTGTGTGTACCTGTGTTTGACGTCAGTGAGCACATTGTGTGTGTGTACCTGTGTTTGACGTCAGTGAGCACATTGTGTGTGTGTGTGTGTGTGTGTGTACCTGTGTTTGACGTCAGTGAGCACATTGTGTGTGTGTGTGTGTGTACCTGTGTATGACGTCACATTGTGTGTGTATCTACCTGTGTCTGACGTTAGTCAGTACGGTGTGTGTGTGTATGTGTGTGTGTGTGTGTGTACCTGTGTTTGACGTCAGTGAGCACATTGTGTGTGTGTACCTGTGTTTGACGTCAGTGAGCACATTGTGTGTGTGTACCTGTGTTTGACGTCAGTGAGCACATTGTGTGTGTGTGTGTGTGTGTACCTGTGTATGACGTCACATTGTGTGTGTATCTACCTGTGTCTGACGTTAGTCAGTACGGTGTGTGTGTGTATGTGTGTGTGTGTGTGTGTGTACCTGTGTTTGACGTCAGTGAGCACATTGTGTGTGTGTACCTGTGTTTGACGTCAGTGAGCACATTGTGTGTGTGTGTGTGTGTGTGTGTGTGTACCTGTGTTTGACGTCAGTCAGCACATTGTGTGTGATGCCACTCTCCCCCCTGTCCTGGAACCGGTGCAGGAACTCACGGTACGGCACACCAGCCGGAACCGGCTTCACTGAGCACCGGCTGAGGAACGCCGAGAGCAGGTTCTTCTCCAGCTTCAGGCCGAAGCTGGTCAGGACATCGATGAAGTCATCGAAGCTGACCTGGGGAAGACGTGGACACGGTCTGTTGGTTTGGTCCAGTTAGGGTTAGTGAGAGTGCAAACGTGGGTTACACATTCTTATAGGGTATATCTGGAGACGTCAGTTAAACCTACCAGCCTCAGACAAACCTACTTGCCCCAAACATGACAAACCTACCACCCCCAGATAAACCTACCATCCCTAGACAAGCCTACTATCCCCAGATAAACCTACCATCCCCAGATAAACCTACCATCCCCAGATAAACCTACCAGCCCCTTCCTCTCCGGGTCCTTATCCTCAAACGCCTCCCTCATGTTGAAGAATCCCTCCCTGAACTTGTTCTTGAGCCAGTTCTCAATGTTCAACTGCTGCTGTCTTTCTATCTCTTTTTTCCTCGGCGTTCGTTTGCCCGGAGATTCCCGCTCTGAAGCAGATCAAAGCCACATTTAGATCGTACAGCATGCACACCAATATGGTGACCTACTCAATGTATAAATCATTCATCTAGAATCTAGTGTATACATTATACATCGATATTCTACAAGCACCGAAAAGTAATCCGATTTGCTAACGATTCATAATTTGTTAAACATTGAATCTGTTGATTTAAGACGCTGACCATAGCGAGACTGTGGCCAAACTGTTGTTTTAAGACGCTGACCATCTGCGGCCAAACTTACCGGAAGTGCCAGCTGAGACTGTGTCCCTGTTGTTGACGTGTTCTGGCAGCGAGCGGTGCCCGGGGTCCCCTGACGTCCTCCTCCACTCAATCCCCAGCACATTCAGCAGTCGCTGACCCGTGATGACCCCTTCATTGGCCGGGTCATACCTGCTAGGTCAGATGTACCTTGGTTATTGTGCCCTCGTTAAATATGGAATCATGTAAAACCTAAATCCTGGGGACGTTTCCAGAGGCAATCTCACCAAACTACACCCCCTCCCCCCCAATCACCAAACCCCCACACACATCACCAAACAAATCACCAAACCACCCCCTCCCAAATCACCAAACCACCAAACCACCCCACAAATCACCTAACCACCCCCCCCCCCCCCAAATCACCAGACCACCCCACACATCACCAAACCACCCCCCCCCCCCCCAAATCACCAGACCACTCCACACATCACCAAACCACCCCCCTCCCAAATCACCAAACCACCCCACAAATCACCAAACCACCCCACAAATCACCAAACCACCCCCCCCCAAAATCACCAAACCACCCCCCCCCCCAAATCACCAAACCATCCCCCCTCCCAAATCACCAAACCACCACACACATCACCAAACCAGCCCCCACATCACCAAACCACCCAATCACGTGACTCCCGTCAGCCCACACACCTGAGCCAGAGCTTATCAAACTCCGCCTCGTCCATGTAAAAGCTCATAGAGTTGAGCATCTGCCTGAACTCTGCCCTCGTCACGATGCCCGACCCCCCGGGGTTCATCTGTGGGATCATGTCAGCCAGACTCAGGAACCTGGAACAACATGAGGGGGGGGGGGGGATTATGGTGTACAAGATGGCGGACACACAACCACAGGGGAAACTACCTCACGACCACACGACATACAACCACACAACCACACGACATACAGCCACACGACACACAACCACACGACATACAACCACACAACCACACTACCACAAAACCACACGACATACAACCACACAATCACACGACATACAGCCACACGACATACAACCACACGACATACAGCCACACGACATACAACCACACAACCACACGACATACAGCCACACGACATACAACCACACGACATACAACCACACGACATACAACCACACGACATACAACCACACAACCACACGACATACAACCACACAACCACACGACATACAACCACACAACCACACGACATACAACCACACGACCCACGGCCACACAGAGAGACTTCACGTGCAGGTCACTAACCTCTGTCTGGCCTTCTCCCTCAGGTGGGCGTGTACCTGGATGCTGCCCATGATGACCCTGTCCTGCTGCCCGCCCCTCTGTACGGGGTCCATCCACAGGGGGTAGGACGACTCAGAGGCGTGTCTGGGGAGGTACACAAGTTTATACAGAGTTCAACTTTTGTAGAGAGTTGTAAGAAGTCTAGACGTCAAGTGTTCAACTTTTGTAGAGAGTTGTTAGAAGTCTAGACGTCAAGAGTTCAACTTTTGTAGAGAGTTGTAAGAAGTCTAGACGTCAAGAGTTCAACTTTTGTAGAGAGTTGTTAGAAGTCTAGACGTCAAGAGTTCAACTTTTGTAGAGAGTTGTAAGAAGTCTAGACGTCAAGAGTTCAACTTTTGTAGAGAGTTGTAAGAAGTCTAGACGTCAAGAGTTCAACTTTTGTAGAAAGTTGTAAGAAGTCTAGACGTCAAGAGTTCAACTTTTGTAGAGAGTTGTAAGAAGTCTAGACGTCAAGAGTTCAACTTTTGTAGAGAGTTGTAAGAAGTATAGACGTCAAGAGTTCAACTTTTGTAGAAAGTTGTAAGAAGTCTAGACGTCAAGAGTTCAATTTTTGTAGAGAGTTGTAAGAAGTCTAGACGTCAAGAGTTCAACTTTTGTAGAAAGTTGTAAGAAGTCTAGACGTCAAGAGTTCAACTTTTGTAGAGAGTTGTAAGAAGTCTAGACGTCAAGAGTTCAACTTTTGTAGAGAGTTGTAAGAAGTCTAGACGTCAAGAGTTCAACTTTTGTAGAAAGTTGTAAGAAGTCTAGACGTCAAGAGTTCAACTTTTGTAGAGAGTTGTAAGAAGTCAAGACGTCAAGAGTTAAGCTTTTGTGTAGAGCTCAGTGAAAGGTATGATCTTACCTGAAGTAGGCGAACAGTGAAAGGTATGATCTTACCTGAAGTAGGCGAACAGTGAAAAGTATGATCTTACCTGAAGTAGGCGAACAGTGAAAGGTATGATCTTACCTGAAGTAGGCGAACAGTGAAAGGTATGATCTTAACTGAAGTAGGCAAAGAACTCAGTGAAAGGTATGATCTTACCTGAAGTAGACAAAGAACTCAGTGAAAGGTATGATCTTACCTGAAGTAGGCAAAGAACTCAGTGAAAGGTATGATTTGTCTCTCTGAGAAGCCCAAACGGTCCAGCAGACGTTGGGTTTGTTGTGACGTCAGAGAACGACCCAGGAGAGTGACCAGGATCCTTGTTAGCGCCTCCCTGTGGGGACACGATGACGTCATATCACCCAGGTGCCACGATGACGTCATATCACCCAGGTAAGTGGAGTCACGATGACATCATATCACCCAGGTAAACGAAACATTTTAGACCCGAAACATAGCTTCTTGTTTGAGAGGTTTTCACCTGACCGCCCCCTTCCCAGCCCACCCATTTAAGCTCAACTTTTTAAACCTATTTCTCCCCCCACCACCCACTAAAGCTATGATTTTAAACCATCCCCGACCCCTGCACACCGACATGACCCCCGGGCTGTTTACTGTCATAGACCCGTTTGCCAATCACAGTCCTGAAAGGTTAATGATCGATTGATTTGTTTTCTCTTTCCTCTACCAACCCACTCTTCGTCGCCCGATTTATTTGTTTTCTCTTTACTCTGTCTACCCCACCTCCCCCTCTATGCAGATTGTGTATAGATTTTTGTGATTGTGCATATAGCTTTGAGCAACCATCACAAAAATCAACACACAATGTACATAAAGTGTTTTACATCGCACGATTTATTTATCCTACGAGGACTTGATTACCAATATTGATTGCTTGCGAGCGGGTTGGAATAATTAAACACCACTTGAAGGTGATTAGCCGATCGAGTTCGATCACACGGTGTTTATTGATAGATTGCCATCTTTCCCCAGCAGTGTTTATTGATAGATTGCCATCTTTCCTCAACAGTGTTTATTGATAGATGGCGCATCAGCTAGGCGACGATTACTATGTGCAGTCTTTGGGTACGGCAGAGTTCTGATGACTTGATTGATTTAGTCAGCTGGCTATCGCGTCGTATTGTGATGTCACTCTAATTAGTAGCGCGTCCACGATTGCTAATTAAACAGCTGATTGGGGTATATGGACAGGGACGATTGATAAACTTAGAGACAGCATCACTAGGTCAACCCAAGCTCCATCTACATGGCATCTGGGCCTGTCTTCAAGTTGGTACACAACTCACAAAGTCGTGGTTGGTGTTTAGTTGTCGTCTGACAAAAGTCGTCTGACAAAAGTCGTCTGACAAAAGTCGTCTGACAAAAGTCGTCTGACAAAAGTCGTCTGACAAAAGTCGTCTGACAAAAGGTTTACCTGGTGACGTTCCCGCGTCCCTCGGGGTCATTGTCCTTGAACTTCTTCCTGACCTCGTAGTAGCCCGTCTTCATCTTGTCTTTCAGACAAGCTTCCAGCTGTAACGACAAGAGTGGGCAATGGTCGATGTAAGTGGTTGATGGTCGATGTAAGTGGTCAATGGTCTATGTAAGTGATCAATGGTCTATGTAAGTGATCAATGGTCGATGTAAGTGGTTGATGGTCGATGTAAGTGGTCAATGGTCGATGTAAGTGGTCAATGGTCGATGTAAGTGGTTGATGGTCGATGTAAGTGGTCAATGGTCGATGTAAGTGGTCAAACGGTCGATGTAAGTAGTCAAACAATCGATACTGTGCTCAGAAAGTCGATGTAATCAGATGCAAATGTATTCCTATAGATTAAGCGTGCTGAAATCCATGTTTAACGATAATCTTATGAAGAGCTAAAACAACTACCTCCCCCCCCCCCCTCCCCAACACACACAAAACCACTCTAGAGCGACGTCAGTTTAACATGCAGCCCGCTCTCCAAGTAAAACCTTCTTTAAGTGCCCTTAAAGACTGGCGTGCTAAGTGTGTGTCATGTATATATATGTGTCGTGTATGTATGTCCAACTATTGTAGTACCGTGAACGTATGTAGTAAATATGTATGTTTCATACGTTTATGTCATGGTAGAAATTCTTCTCGCAACAATTCAGTTGTGGATAAAACTGTGACCTTGAAAATCACGAACCGATCATTTAACCCCACATAGCCGTGTCGCGTCGCTAGAGGGTTAAACAACATTCCAGGCAGACGGTCTGGTGGAGTGTGGTGTGTGGAGTGGTCCTGGAGTGTCGAGTGGCTCTGAAGTGGCCCACAAACAACCGATAAGGCTCCACCAACTTTAGCACGCTGGGCCGCATGAGCCACAGATATGCAAATTGACGCAAGTACATTAGATGTGATTGGTTAATCGAACTGTTGGAACAGCCAGTGAAAAACCCTGAGCTTAACCAATCAGACGGTAGGATAGTCGTCAGCTGACGGAGTTGGCATGACATTGTTTTGTGACATGACACTGACTGTCCTTCTATCCTGTGACAGATAAGTTGTGTGTGATTGAGCTTAATGGTTTGTGTGGTCGATAGGTCAAGGTCGATGGCAGAGGTTAAAGTTCATAGCTTACCTCGTCTATCTCCAATCTCGCCTGACCGGAAGCACGTGACATACGGCTGGAGACCCTGCTGACGCCATCTTTCTCTGACACGCTGGCCCGGCTCCCTGTAACAAGAGGAGAGCGGTCAATCGGTGCTGGGGGGGGGGGGGGGGGGGGTCAATCGGTGCTGGGGGTCACTGTGAGCTGGGGGGGGGGGTTGAGTTCTAGGGGTCATTCTGTGTTGGCGGTGGAGGTAGGTGGTGAGTGGAAACATTCTTTCCCGCCATGACGTCACATCCCCAGGGCAGGTAAGATTAGAGGTGACAGGTGTATTATCGTTCTATTGACTAGAATGTTCTCAGGTATTTGTGTGGACAAGCCACCCTATCGGGGCGTGTGTACTGAACTGGTGTGTTGGACTGAGGCAGCGAGTGAGGGTACCAGCGCTTGACTTTTGATTGACAAGCACCCTCATTCACAGCTGGGGATCAGAGTTACTTCCAGGCATCTCTTGCCCCCACCCCCACCACCCCCCGAAAATTTAGTCCATACCCCCCCCCCCCCCAATATCAAGTGCACCCCATCACCAGAGAAAAAAGTCTGAAAGAAACACTGGTGGGGATGACAGGAGGTGTAGGGAGGTGTAGGGAGGTGTAGGGAACTCCCCCAAATTGTCAGACCACATGATTGTTTAGTACTGTTTACTGTTCCAATCATGCTTGACGTGTCGCCTATCAAAAACCCTTAAGACACCCCCCCCCCCGCAGATATCTATACGGCACCCGATCCCCCCCCCCCCCACCCCGCCCCCGCAGATATGTACATGGCACCTTAGTGTCTTCTCCAGACACAAAGAGTGCCAGACAATAGAATGATTTATATTTCAATCGACAGATAGCGTCGTATTTCTGCCTGCTTTTAATGTCGTGTCGTGGACAGAATAGGGACATGAACGTCTCTTAACGTGTGCCTTAAGCCTGGCACTGTGCACAGGTAGGGGTTCTCACCTGGTCGTTCTATCACGTCCCCACATTCTTTTGTCTGTCAGTCTAAACAAAACGACATCGTCAGGGTAGATAACTAAAGCAAGTTGTGTTTTGTTTAGACTGGTTGTGAAATATAAAACGTTCCATTGTCGATGTCAATATCTGTAATGACGCTACACAAGTATGGCAGGTCATCACACACAAACACATCTACACACATATCTATGTATGTATGTATGTATGTATGTATATATATATATATATATATATATATATATATATATATATATATATATATATATATATATATATATATATATATATATATATATATATATATATATATATATGGAAGCTGATAAAATCTGTACAAACTGAAGGTTTTTTCTTGTTTTATAAAATATTTCAATTTTAAAATAAAATTGATGAATCAGTTGAGGAGTGTAATATTTTCTTTCTAACTGGTAAAGTATACCTACAATAACAAAGGTGTAGATCTTTTCTACACTTGAATATATTTCTCGCCGCAATTCTTCAAGCAAGGCTTGCAGGTAACGACAATAGTGGAATATTAGGGGAGGGGTGAACTATTGTGTGGTGTGGGTGTGTGGATGCCGTGAGGAGGAGGGTGCAATAAATACACCACAGCGGATGTTGGACCCCATTTCTAACAGCCCATCTGGTTATTATATCGGCCATGGTATGTTCTACCCGGGGCGTACACCCCCCTCCACCCCACCTAGCTACGCCACTGAAACAACGTGTCACTATTGGCTCAGGTGAGCCAAGCGTGACACAACTCACTCTGCCAATCACTGAGAGTAATGGCCCTTTGCGTGTAAATATAAACAAAGGGGGAGAAGCGTTGTGATTTCCGCGGCAGCTTGAAGTGAACTTGAAGCAGTTTTATCCCCCCTGGGATCTGCATGAAAAACAAAAACTCTTTTATTGCCTATCAATAAGCGGTGACTGCAGTCAGACGGTGCACAGTTCGATTTTATTGTGACAAGCGGTTGAGAATGTTGGCTCATGTCATGTTAGGTACAGAATTTTTTCTTTCCTTGTTGACTCTAGATCATTCTAGTTAAACTTGTAATTAAAGAGGTCGTATGGTCGTGACGTCATCATTTGTGACGTCAGTTGTGGGGAGGGGTGGGTGTGGGTGGGGTTGTCGTAGGGGAGAAGAAAGGTTGGGAGAAATGGTGCGGAACACAAGGAAAGAGAGTAATATTAGAGGGGGGGGGGGGGAGAGTCAACTGTTGGAATTCCTCTCTGCCGTTAATGCCAGAACTTGCACGGTGCTGAGCGAACCCAGCCCTTGACTCAACAAACGTGTAAGTGGTACACTGGTTACCCCAGCTACCTAGTGATCGATTGCTGAGATCGAACCTCGAGTCCATCGATTGATTCAAGTGATCGAGCACTTTTCTTGTAGCGTGGTTGGACAGACATTGTTTGTTTTTTATGACAGACTTTGGCCGCACTCTAAGCACTTCTGGGGGTGACACAATGACATAATAGGTCACATGTCACATGACATGTAGATATATAGATGTCACATGACACGTCGAAATCACAATGTCACAATGAAATGTCACGATTTACAAATATCGATTAGTGCATGTGAACGCAACTATCGAACTCTGTGATCTGATACAGCTCGCCAGACTCGACTGGGCAACTATCAGCTCAACATGCGCATATAGATGTGTATCAACACTGGTTTCAACACATGTCTATATCAACACATGCCTACATCAACATGCCTATATCAACATGCCTATATCAACACATGCCTATATCAATACATGCCTATATCAACACAAGCCTATATCAACACATGCCTATATCAACACATGATATATCAACACATGCCAGTCAACCGCCCCCAAGTTTCAACAGTTGAAACGAAAACTTATACCGCTGTCAAGAACCGAACCAATTACCCGAGAAATAATTAACCACCAATTTAGTAACACCGGTGTGTCAATCATTCGTTCATTTTTTCCACTTCATCACACCGATACAAACAAACACCGCTACCAACACCACTACAAACTTTTCACTGGCCGGCTCAAACCTTTCATTCAGTCACACAGCCACGCCGCCACACCAAAGCCTCATTCAGCCACAGCCACATCAAAGCCCCACCGAAGCCCACCCGGGGCTTGCTATGATACAATCCCGAATGTCTTACACACAAAACATTTCTTAGCTCCACACAAAAGACAAGAACGGACTCTATTAAAGGGATTATTTTTGTTTCTTGCTTCAACTCGCGCATTAATTCCCCGTCCTTCGTACCGGCAAATGTGTCGACTCCCCACCCCCTTACCCCCCCCCCCCCCCCCCCCTATAAAAGCTGTTGAAACCTATCAAATGCCCAACCACGGAATAATCAGCCATTCTATCAAACGGATCATTGGACGAAAAACTCAATAAGTTTAAAGAAAGCGATTAAGAAATAATTTTTTTTTAAATTTGACCGGGTAGAGTTGGGGCGGCAAGAGTGGAGGGTCCGGGGGGGGGGGGGGGGGGTGGATAACCTAGGTTACAGGTTTTGAAGACCGCTGAACTTACTTATTGATCTTTAAATGTTTGAAGTAGACAAGCATGATGAAGCAAACAGGCATGATGAAGTACACAAGCATGATGAAGTAGAAAAGCACGATAAAGTAGAAAAGCGCAATGAACCACAAAATCATGACCTTATGCACGACTTAAATTAACTCACATCTACTGTTGAAAATACTCACCCATCAGCTTGTCATACAACTTCCGACACCCCCCCCCCCACCCCACCCGTCCACCCATCAGCTTGTAATACAATATCCGACACCCCACCCCTCCAATTCTCCCTATTTTCATAGCGTACATTGGTCTGTTATTATAGTTTTTACATTGATCTGTTATTATAGTTTTTTCATTGATCTGTTATTATAATTTTTTTAGAGTGGAACACGAACAAAAGCAGCTTAGTTAAGGCTGAAGAAACATATCGAACCTGTTTTTACCTGCCTCCGTCAGGTGTAACGTATAAACAGTTGTCCCAAGTCTATACGTGAGGGGGGTGGGGGTGGGGGATGGGGGTAAATGTAAAAATGTCTGAGGTGGGGGGTTGTTCTATAACCTTTGGAATCGAAGTGCAAGTGTTTACAGTTTACAGTCTGGTATCGATAATCTATCAATACGTTTGATAATCCCAAGTAAGCTGCATGGTGATTGTTATTGGGGGGGTATTGTTGTATATGTAATTGTATTACTGGTGTAATATGTGTGATTCTATTGGTGTTACATGTGTGATTCTGTTGGTGTTACATATTACTGTTGTATTATGTGTAGTTGTATTGGTGTTATGTGTTTTAATTTTGGTGATGTATTAATTGTGGTTGATAAATCACTCTTTAAATTCCGTCATCAATCATACATGTGCTTCCAAACCAAATAACATGCCCAAAAACACTGCCATCCCACACTACTACCACACCCCCCACCACTACCACCCCACACCCCCACACTGCCACCCCACACTACCAGCCCACACCCCACCCCACACCACTACCTAAACCACACACCACCACACCCCCCACCACTACCACCCCACACCCCCACACTGCCACCCCACACTACCAGCCCACACCCCACCCCACACCACTACCTAAACCACACACCACCACACCCCCACTCTGCTACCCCACACTACCAGCCCACACCCCCACACCCCCACACTACCACCCCACACCACTACCTCAACCACACACCACCAACACTACCACCCCACACTACCACCCCACACCACTACCTCAACCACACACCAACACACCCCCACTCTGCCACCCCACACTACCAGCCCACACCCCCACACCCCCACACTACCACCCCACACCACTACCTCAACCACACACCACCAACACTACCACCCCACACTACCACCCCACACCACTACCTCAACCACACACCAACACACCCCCACTCTGCCACCCCACACTACCAGCCCACACCCCCACACCCCCACACTACCACCCCACACCACTACCTCAACCACACACCACCAACACTACCACCCCACACCCCCACACTACCACCCCACACCACTACCTCAACCACACACCAACACACCCCCACTCTGCCACCCCACACTACCAGCCCACACCCCCACACCCCCACACTAGCACCCACACCACTACCTCAACCACACACCACCAACACAGTCTTTGATGTGGTCAGTCACGTGACCCGATCAAAGAATGAAGCGATCAATTGATCTATCGGCAAGATCGATCATTCTAAACGCCTGATCTTCTACGTACCAGCTTCATTAATGAAGTCCTTAATTAATGAGCTTTAATTATGGATGCTAAGCTACGATATAACTGGCAAGGTGGGATTGATACGATGGGCGAGATATCGTGTGTAGACACGGTCGGCCTCGACCCCCGGGCACTAGATGAGAGGGAGGGTATACTTTATGTAGACATACTTCCTGCCTCGACCCCCGGGCACTAGGTGGGAGGGTGGGTATACCCTGTGTAGACATACGGCCTGTTTCGACCCCCGGGCACTAGATGGGACGGTGGGTATACCCTGTCTCGACCCCCGGGCACTAGGTGGGAGGGAGGGTATAGCCTGTGTAGACATACGGCCTGTCTCGACCCCCGGGCACTAGATGGGAGGGAGGGTATACCCTGTGTAGACATACGGCCTGTCTCGACCCCCGGGCACTAGATGGGAGGGAGGGTATACCCTGTCTCGACCCCCGGGAACTAGGTGGGAGGGTGGGTATACCCTGTCTCGACCCCCGGGCACTAGTACCATAAAGTTATGGCGAGCTTGTGACATCACCCCATACAGACATACAGATCTCAACATACGGTCGTCAAACATAGTCCAGGTCATATGTTTCTAGTGAAATGTTACGTCCAGCACCCATCATGTGTCACCACATGTGGTGGTTAATGTAGGGTGGTGCAGTGGTCAAGATGTTTGGTGGTGCAGTGGTCAAGATGGTGGATGGTGCAGTGGTCAAGATGGTGGGGGGTGCAGTGGTCAAGATGGTGGGTGGTGCAGTGGTCAAGATGGTGGGTGGTGCAGTGGTCAAGATGTTGGTGGTGCAGTGGTCAAGATGTTGGTGGTGCAGTGGTCAAGATGGTGTGTGGTCAAGATGTTGGGTGGTGTAGTGGTCAAGATTTTTGGTGGTGGTCAAGATGTTGGGTGGTGTAGTGGTCAAGATTTTTGGTGGTGGTCAAGATGTTGGTGGTGCAGTGGTCAAGATGTAGGGTGGTGCAGTGGTCAAGATGGTGGGTGTGCAGTGGTCAAGATGTTGGTGGTGCAGTGGTCAAGATGTTGGTGGTGCAGTGGTCAAGATGGTGTCTGGTCAAGATGTTGGTGGTGCAGTGGTCAAGATGTTGGTGGTGCAGTGGTCAAGATGTTGGTGGTGCAGTGGTCAAGATGTTGGTGGTGCAGTGGTCAAGATGTTGGTGGTGCAGTGGTCAAGATGTTGTGTGGTGAAGTGGTCAAGATGGTGGGGGAGTAGAACGACTGCATACCCTGAACACAAAATCCAAAACTGCTAACTCTACTTCGCCTACCCTAACAGAGAGTTGTAATTGGACCTATTGCAGGTTCTGCTGCTTGGTGTGTTGGGTTTTATCTGTGCAGTGGATTATGTTTGCTGACCTTTGACCCGCTAAGATCGTCATTGTCTGCGCGACAAAAGCAATTGTCTGTAACGTAGAATTGTAACGTCACAGACAATATGACATTATGACGTCTAGAGCAGACGATCGACCCTGCGGTGTTGCATGAGTTCGATTCACGAGATTTGAAAGGAATGCATTAATCCATTTCATCTTTTCTCTAGTTGAAGATTATTTCCGCGAAATTCTAGATGCCACACAAAGACAAATAATTGAAAAGATTTTCAGAAACTCGCCAGCTAATCCAGTGATGACGTCATGCTCTTTCAATATCCCGAGGATTTAAAAGGTTTTCCTTTGATCTCCAGTCGCATAGTGGGCAGTCCGATGGCATCAATGCTGTTTTCAAGTGACGTAATTTAATTTATCAAACACTGCAATTAAACGCGAATCTTTCATCTCTGGTGGGGGTGGAGGGGGCGCTAATGTAGGTGACAGCCTAAAGCAAAACATCCGGTCTATAGAAAGGCGGAAGTCGTGTTTATAAAAGAAATTTACATATCTGAAATACTGTATAAGATTTTTTTTTTAAAACAGACAATTTTTTGTTCAAGCCACGGGACCAAAGTACTGCCAACCAAAGTACTGCCAACCAAAGAACCTAGGTAATGGATATGGCTCTGAACATACATGTATAGACCTAGCCAATGTAGGTCTACCACCTCAATGTATAGACATGTCTACACTATGTATAGACCTACCCACTGTATTTGTAGACCTATCCACAATAAATCTACCCACTCTATAGACCTACCCACTCTATAGACCTACCCGCTTTATGCATAGACCTACCCACTCTACGCATAGACCTACCCACTCTACGCATAGACCTACCCACTCTACGCATAGACCTACCCACTCACAGTGTTTCTTCCAGACTTTTTTCTCCGGGGGTGCACTTGACATTTCGGGGGGGGGGGGGGGACTGACAACACTTTCGGGGGGGGGGGGGGACACTGTTAAAAGTATATATTTTATATATAAATTCCATTTTGTTCGGGGGAGGGGTGGTAGACGAGATGCCTGGAAGAAACTCTGCCCACTCAATGTGTAGATCTACCCACTTCATGCCTGTAACTCTCAGAGACATGACTGCAGATTTCTAGTTATTGAAATCGATATTTAATCGGGTATAAGAAATATGCAAATGAGATGCAAATGACGAACCGGTCCAAAAAGCGTGCCAGAATTATGCACTAGATTGTTGGTATTGACTTTCTTTGTGAAACCGGAAGCCGGAAGCCGGCTCTGTATGCCGGCGTGAGGCTTGCGACAACCAGACATTGAATTATTGGAAACGAATATGGCGGTGGTGCCGGAATGGTGCGGGTGGGTGGTGGTGTTAATTTAATGAGTGCACAAATGAGCAGTTTGATATGATATATGACGAGTTTAAAGAAAAAATACACATTTGTTTAATGTTGTGATGATCGCACACGGTATAATCTCAAAACTGTCAATGTTGTGTTGTAAGGTAATTCTGTCCATCTGTTGGTCGGTCTGTCTGTTCATCATGCTATTGGTCTGTCGAGTAGGTTTGTTTCACCATCACACAAAGAATATTGACCTTTTATTTTGGTGTGGTTTAGTTTGTGTTATAATACCTGTAAAGATGAAGTTAAACCTGGGACGTTAAGATGGGACCATGCACCAACCTGGGACCTTAACATCAGACCATGCACCAACCTAGGACCTAAACATGGGACCATGCACCAACCTGGGACGTTAAGATGGGACCATACATCAACCTGGGACCTTAAGATGGGACCATGCACCAACCTGGGACCATGCACCAACCTGGTACATTAAGATGGGACCATGCACCAACCTGGGACCATGTACCAACCTGGAACCATGTGCCAACCTGGGACGTTAAGATGGGACCATGCACCAACCTGGGACCATACACCAACCTGGGACATTAAGATGGGACCATGCACCAATCTGGGACCATACACCAACCTGGGACATTAAGATGGGACCATGCACCAACCTGGTACATTAAGATGGCACCATGCACCAACCTGGGACCATGCACCAACCTGGGACATTAAGATGGGACCATACACCAATCTGGGACCTTAAGATGGGACCATGCACCAACCTGGGATGTTAAGATTTGACCATACACCAACCTGGGACGTTAAGATGGGGCCATACACCAACCTGGGACGTTACGATAGAATCTGTGACGTTTGGTATGCATTGATCATCAAACTGAGTTCCAGTTAGAAACTGTGTGTAATCACTGCACCATGACGTGCACCTAAATACATAGACCTAGTTCTATAACGTCAAGCTTCTCTAGCGCTGACTCTAATCCTAGCTTTCTCTAACCTTGACCTTAACAGGATACCAGCAGACAGATCTAGGCAATTTCCGACAAACGTAGACAAATATCAGGGTGGTTGTTGGGGGTGGGGAGGGGGTGGGGTGAAAAAAAGTAAAAACAAACTCACCAAAAACCGGAAGTCGTGTGGCGTTTGGGTCCCCTAGCTTGACCTCCACCCCCTCGGGTATGCTGACAGTCAGAGGGTTGGCCCTGTTCTCCTTGTTCCTCTGGCTGGCCCGGCTCGTCCTGCTCTCTCGGCCGGTCGCACTGCAAGAAACAAGATGTAAGTTTTCTGACGCTCAAGTGCGTTTTGTGTGCAGCCAGCGTCGTGTGCAGCGCTGCACCGTATTTACATATTTATTCGGCCATTGTTGCTGGAGCGGCCGATCCCGCGTATAGGGGAAACGACTATCCGTAATCGATTTCTTTCTTTAACTCTTCATACTAGTATTGTTTTATTTAAGAGATCGATACCACATTGATAAAAACGATCTCGATCTTGGCATAGAAACTTTTTTTCCCTGACGTCAGCAAAAGATGAAAAGTCGAAGGTAACAATTGTCAGGGACAGTGAGCTAAGGCTGGGAGCTTAGAGGTAAAAGGTGGGAGCTTAGGGCTGGGAACGTAGGGCTGGGAGCTTAGATGTGGGAGCTTAGGGTTGGGAGCTTAGGGCTGGGAGCTTAGGGCTGAGAGCTTAGGACTGGGAGCTTAGGACTGGGAGCTGAAAGGTGGGAACTGAAAGGTGGGAGCTTAGGACTGGGAACTTAGGGCTGGGAGCTTAGGGCTAGGAGCTTAGGGCTTGGAGCTTAGAGGTGTTAGCTAAAAGGTGGGAGCTTATGGCTGGGAGCTTAAGTGTGGGAGCTTAGAGGTGGAAGCTTAGAATGAGAGCTTAGAGGTTGGAGATTGGAGGTGAAAACTCATCGCAGAGAGTTTAGGGTTGGGAGCTTAAAGGTGTGAGCTTACAGCAGGGAGCTTTAGTCACCGAGCTTATAGGTGGAGGCTTAGTACAGGGAGTTTAGGATTGGGAGCTTAGAAAAGAATGGGGAGCTTTGTGGAATAGAACATTGTGGTTAGAGGTTCATTTTTTAAAAGCAAGGAATTTGATGACGAGTTAAGACGAAGGGAACGCGTGATATTCATCTAACTAGAAGTGTAAGGAGCAACAATGTCAACATGTAAGGAAGGGCCGGTTTAGCTAGAAATGTAATCGCTGTAAGCTTTGTTTAAAAATTTTCCTACGTGACTATCAACATGTAGCTGTAACCGGTTTTTTCCGGTTGGTGTTGACAATAGTCCCCGGGCTGCCAATGAGCCATCTTTTAAACAGTAAACCTTCAAACAGTTTTTTTTTATCACGCGCTTAATTCTCTTTCCCCATTATTCCAGCATCCCCCACAAGTACCCCCACCCCACCAACACACACAAGTGCCCCCACCCCACCAACACACATTTTGAATAGGTCTCCCACCCAACATGGTTAAAACCTTGCAGACATTAAATCAAATATCATTAAGTTTTCAATCGAAGGCAAACCTCGTTGTTATAGATCGATTAATTCACAAAAATCAATGGACAGGTACCCTTCACCACGGTTGAATGACTTTTAGAAAAGATCAGCTACAAATAATTTACTTGATTTTAAAGGCGGTTCCTGCAGGAACAGCTTACCTGCGGCAGGTAGGCAACAAACCTACGGCAGGTAGACAACAAACCTGCGGCAGGTAGTCAACAAACCTACGGCAGGTAGACAACAAACCTGCGGCAGGTAGTCAACAAACCTGCGGCAGGTAGACAACAAACCTGCGGCAGGTAGACAACAAACCTGCGGTAGGTAGACAACAAACCTGCGGCAGGAAAACAAACCTGCAACAGGTAAACACGAAACCTTGACATGTGACATGTGACATGTCATTTGATATGACATGTCACATGTGACATGACACCTGTTACCTGAAACTTTTCCGTACTGCCGGCGTCTCCTCACTGACCAGCGGCCTGCCCGAGTAGGATGACCTGATGGTCGGGCGTGGGATGCCGCCTCTGGACACACCCCTCACGTCCATGGCCCCAAGGTCAAGGTCACCCATCTGACTGAGGGGATGTTTGATCTCCGGTAGGGTGACGCCCACCTTCATCTGGCTGGGGGGTCTTTGGTTGGCAACCTGGGACATGACTTGACCTGGGGACAGATAAATGGGGGGGGGAGGTTAAACGGTCAATGGAGGGTGTTTAAGGGCTAGTCAATGGACGTGGCCGTCCATGATGGTGTCAATGGTGGCCGTCCATGGTGGTGTCAATGAAGGTGACCGTCCATGGTGGTGTCAATGGCGGCCGTCCGTGATGGTGTCAATCGTGGCCGTCCATGGTGGTGTCAATGGTGGCCGTCCATGGTGGTGTCAATGAAGGTGACCGTCCATGGTGGTGTCAATGGCGGCCGTCCATGATGGTGTCAATGGTGGCCGTCCATGGTGGTGTCAATGAAGGTGACCGTCCATGGTGGTGCCAATGGTGGCCGTCCGTGATGGTGTCAGTGAAGGTGACCGTCCATGGTGGTGTTAATGAAGATGGCCGTCCACACTAGTATACATTGCTAAATGCGTGCTGAAACTAAGCTTTAAATCTAACTTTAACTTGCAGTGTGGCCAAAATTGTAGGATCGAAACCCACCAACTCCCTCGTCTTGCGCTGGTTGAATGCAGAGTTTCTTTTAGGCATATCTTCGATGGGGGGGGGCCTCCATGAATTTATATAGAAATGGAATTTATATAGAAAATGTTTACTTTTACCAGTGTCCGTCCCCCGAACACCCCCTCCCCACCCCGTCTCCGTTCCCGTACCCCCGAAAATATCGTGTGCCCCGTCCCTCGTTCGGGAGAAACAAGTCTGAAAGAAACACTGGTTGAATATTTTCAGAGTTTCTTCCAGGCATCTCTTCGGGGGATACGGGGGGGGGGGGGAGAACAGAACCCCCATCCTCCTCCGAAGAACGTATACCGCCCCCGCCCCCTGAACAAAATAGAAAAAAACTTACTTTTACCAGTGTTCGATCCCCAGGAAAATTTATTCCGCCCACCCAAAAATTTCAAGTGCCCCCTCCCTTAAGGAGAAGAAAGTCTGATATAAACAGTGAATGGTTTGGTTAGTGGCTATTGGATAGTGAATATTGGCTAGAGGACAGTTGATAATATCGACAAGTTAGGGTCTATTGGCTATTGGCTAGTGCCAGTAGCTATATGCTGTAGGCTGTATGCTGTATGCATGTATACTAGAGGCTAGTTGCTACTGGCTAGAGACTAATGGCCGGCTCATTAATTAGCCATTAGTAAGTTTAAAAAACAAATACAACCATACACGTTAAAAAGCCATCAAACTCCACCTCGACGCGTCATTTACCTGCTACGCTTGACTGAACCCGTGTTACTGAACACGCCATTAAAATTGTAAATAATTGGCCAAAGACCTAGCTCCCTCCCCCCCCCCCCTCACCCGTTGAGTCTAATCAGGCGGCAAGTCTTTCCAGCATAGTAGGCCTACTATCATACCCAATACCCCCACCCTTGACCCCCCCCCCCCCATCCCCTCCCCTCCTCTATCCCTTGAATTCGCTCGAGCGCATCCTTTCTTCTTGAGTCCCATTTGACCGTGTTTTCACTTTTTACGTCCATTTTTAATTATTGACGTCACGAACAACCCCAAGTACAGGTCCGTGAACTTGGTCATCTAATTAGGACTCCATGGTGATAGAAACGTTAAAATTAGGACTCCATGGTGATAGAAACGTTAAAATTAGGACATCATGGTGATAGAAACGTTAAAATTAGGACTCCATGGTGATAGAAACGTTAAAATTAGGACATCATGGTGATAGAAACGTTAAAATTAGGACATCATGGTGATAGAAACGTTAAAATTAAAAACCCCCATTGTGATAGAAACGTTAAAATTAGGACTTAGGACCTGACGTTGTGCGTTAAATGGCGATAAATCCATTAAAATTCAGACCTCAATTATCCCCCCCCCCCCCCCCCCCCCCATCAACGACCCCTCCAGTTTGGTAACATTTTGCCTTCAGTTGAATAACTTATTCATTATTTATTTTCTATTAATATAAAGTTAGATCGCTTTTAATTAGCTGTGTTTTACAATTTAAATTTTCACTTGCTCGAAGTGTAGACAAAGCAGAGTTTAACAAAAATATATTTTGAAAAAATTGTCTGCGATTATTTGTCTACTAGAAAATATTTTCCTCAATGTTTGTTTGGGGGTGGTTTTAGTTGATTGGTCGCAGATTGGCACCACTTCATACAGCTACAGCTAATGTTAACTAGTCCGGAGACTGCAGCCATAATGTGTTAGAAAATTACAAGACTTGTCAGAAGTTAGAAAATTACAAAACTTGTCAAAAGTTAGAGATTACAAAACTGGTCACAAAGCTAGAAAATTACAAATCTTGTCAAAAGTTAGAAAATTACAAGACTTGTCACAAAGCTAGAAAATTACAAAACTTCTCATAAAGCTTGAAAATTACAAATCTTGTCAGTGTTTACTTCTCGCCAGAGTGTCGACCACGGACAAAAAGGGCTTTTAGATTAGTTAAAAGCTTTCATTTAGTTCACAATGTCTGTTTTTATTTGTTTGTTTATTTGTTTATTTGATAGATGTGGCAAATCCTGTAACTTAATTTTGACCCAATTCTAATGCAGCTATTTGGTTACAAAGCAATAATATTTGGATCTGTTTTTAATCGAATAAGGCATTCGGTTAGTCATAACAAAGTTATTAAAAATTCCTAAATTCAGTAACAAAAGGGGAGACAACGAGATTTAATACTAGCGATCATTTTTATAGGTGGCTGTCATCGGGTGAACTGTTATTTCACGGCTGAGTGATTTTTGTTACCTCAACGTCAACGGTGGATTCTATTACCCCCATATATATATATATATATATATATATATATATATATATATATATATATATATATATATATATATATAAAGCTAATTTCTATATAATTTATTTGTTTATCTATTCGCTACGTATTCTAGTATCTATCCCTATAGTATTCTCTTACGTATTCTTCTGTTTATTCTTTCTTAAAACCATTTTGATGCCTTTCTACCTTTTATTATACTCTACTATTACGCTTGTAAATTCTCTATTCTGCTCAGTGAAGCGTGTTAACAACTGAACTAAAGATTGACATATTCGCTTAGACACACACACACAAATGTATTTCAAACAAAGACAACCCAACCCTGTAAACCCTTTAAACCCTGACTGGTGAAAGCCTCAATTAAACCCTAGTTAACTACTGAACCATAATTTTCTTGTGTTGTGGTCCCCATTTTTGATTCACTTCTGGACATGCGCAGTTAACGACTTCCTGTTTCTTGTTCATAATGTCCGGTTACGTCACTAGCAGGGACTGTCTGAAATTAACATCTTGTATCACGCGCATCTACCGGAAGTTCTATTGGGACATGCGCAGAAGCAGTTTACACTTTGCACGCATGCACCTAGGCACAAAAAGTCGTTCACATATATGGGGCCGTAATATTAAATGGGAAATGTCTTAAAATAAGGATTGTGTTAAAATGGGATTGTGCTAAAATGGGATTGTTAAAATGGGATTGTGCTAAAATGGGATTGTTGAAATGGGATTGTTAAAATGGGATTGTACTAAAACGAGATTGAGTAAAATGGCATTGTGCTTAAATAAAACTTAAAAAGGGATTGTGATAAATGACATTGCATTTAAATTAAAGTCTTAAAATTGGATTGTATTCTAATTGAACTGTTAAAATAGGATTATACTAACACTGAGCTACGAACTGTTAAAATATGATAATGCTAACACTGAGCTACGAACTGTTAAAATAGGATAATGTTAACACTAAGCTACAAACAGTTAAAATAGGATTATGCTAACACTGAGCTACGAACTGTTAAAATAGGATAATGCTAACACTGAGCTATGAAAGAGTTGACACCGAACGAGTAAAGAAATAAAGAGCACAAAACGTGTCACAAAACGTGTCACATAAGTGTCAAATAACATGTCAAGCTCGACATCAAATAGAAACATAACGACGTAAACATTAGTCTGGCGAATATGGTTGGTTATGATAATATTTGTTTCTTGAAAAATTTTACTGACACATTTCTTTTGTACGGGATGTGTTTAATTTTGTATGTGTGTGTCTGGGGGCGTGTGTGTGTGAGATTATGTGAGGTTATGTGTGTGAGGCTAAGTGTGTATGTGTGAGGTTATGTGTGTTAGGCTAAGTGTGTGTATGTGTGAGGTTATGTGAGTGTAGGAGATTGTATGTCATGGTTTATATAAGAGTGTGAGTATGGGTGTGGGTGTGGGGTGGGGGTGTAAGTGTGTGTAAGTGTGTGTGAGGGTGTAAGTGTGTGTGAGGGTGTGTGAGTGTGGGTATGTGTGTGTGGGTGTAAGCGTGGGTGTGGGTCAGTGTGTTCAGGTCCTAAAATCTATAATAAGGTTTTAAAGCTGATGTCGCCCGGTGTTTGGAAATGATGATGTGGACACGATGTGGTCAGCCGACGATATTCACCTGCTTTATTCTTCGTTTGGTTTAGATTAGTCTAATCCAAACTCATGTCTCGGTAGTTTGAACTGTCTTTAATTTGTTACGTCATTAACTCTGTCTGTGTTTATTAAATGACGTCACTAACTCTGTGTGTGTTCATTACATGACGTCACTAAATATGTCTGTGTTAATTAATTTACGTCACTAACTCTGTCCGTGTTCATTAAATTACCTCATTAACTCTGTGTTCAGTAAAACTTTGTATTGGAATAAGAAGCACGTGACTGACACGTGCAACAATTATCTGCTGGCTCGAGTACTCATCTACAGAATTTTTAGAAGTCTTACCGTATTCAAGCTAAGGTACAGCAATTTTAGAAGTTTTACCGTATTCACGCTAATCTAGCATTACTTACGATTAGGAATGAAGCTGGTATGTTGGTTGTTGTTATAAGAAAATAGAATCCGTTCTAGTCCCTAGCCGTGGTCCCCAGCTGTGGTCCCCAGCTGTATTCACGGCTTATAGAGTCCCCAGGAATTAAATCCCACCAAAACCAAATCCGCTCCTAACGCGATCAGCTACTAGACATCCCCGCGACGAGCGTTAAAATCAACAAACTACCTGAGATTAACCCTTCCACGGCGAGACGGAACTGTTAACCCTTGCGACAGATCGCGAGGTGCCCAATTCTGGTTGCCATGGGCGACACAGAACCGAGCGGGCGTCGTGTGCTAGGGTTAAACGTCTGACAGAACAAAGGACGTTTCTGCTGGTCGCGACGTTTGGGGGCGCTAATGAATGGCTGCTCACTGACCCGTCAAGTAGTGACGTCACATCTAATTAAGTCAACGCCGCTAGGGGAAACGACGAGTGCCGTGTTCTGGGGTGTCGCCACAAGTCGGTTAGCCGTACTCACATCGTCGTGAGGCTGTTGATACGTGAACCTTTAACCTTAACCTTAACCATATACATATGTCTCAACGCTACTTCAAACGAGCCAAAACCCTAGCTCAAACCCTAAGCTAAAACCTAGACAAGTATCCGAACGTAAAACTACGCTTATCATAAACCTAGGCTTACAGAGGTTTTTATAGCGTAGTCACCGAATCCAGATATAGGGAAGAAAATGGAGATTCGATTAGAAATGAGATGATTTTTAAATGTTGTACGATGTTGTATGACGTATGTAAAACATGTTGGATGATGTATGAAACCAAGTTTGGTCTCAGCTGTACGTTTACATTGATGACGTATATTGTCACCCACTGCCTCGTGTCAGAATGACGTCTTTGTCACACTGAGGACGTCTTCTGTCACCACCCTATCTACACACAACACACCACCCCAATTAAGTAATCCAACCTTATCTACACACAACACACCACCCCAATCAAGTAATCCAACCTTATCTACACACAACACACCACCCCAATCAAGTAATCCAACCCTATCCAACCCTATCTACACACAACACACCACCCCAATCAAGTAATCCAACCCTATTTACAGCAGGCTGGGGGGGGGGGGGCTTATATGCACACGAGTGTAGGGACAGGTTTAGAAGGCCTCGACAACCAGCCCATTAACTCTGTCTTCATTAGTTTGATCTTATCTCCCTTGTCATGTAGTTAGATCCCCTTGTCTTTTGATAGCTTGTCTTATTCCGTTAATCTGGTCAAACATTGGGAGATTATTTCGTGACGTAGATCTGTACCTGCTAATTTAGTGCGGGTGTTGTGGCACTTCATGGACCTATGTTACGGATTGTGTGGCCCTTATGTTAGGGATTGTATAGCCCTTATGTTAGGGATTGTGTAGCCCTTATGTTAGGGATTGTGTGGCCCTTATGTTAGGGCTACTGTAGACTTTAGGGATCGTATTGCCCTTAAGTTAGGGATTGTATGGCCCTTATGTTAGGGATTGTATGGCCCTTATGTTAGGGATTGTATGGCCCTTATGTTAGGGATTGTATGGCCCTTATGTTAGGGATTGTATGGCCCTTATGTTAGGGACTGTATGGCCCTTATGTTTAGGGATTGTATGGCCCTTATGTTAGGGACTGTATGGCCCTTATGTTTAGGGATTGTATGGCCCTTATGTTTAGGGATTGTATGGCCCTTATGTTTAGGGATTGTATGGCCCTTATGTTTAGGGATTTATGGCCCTTATGCTAGAGGCCTATGTCATCCTAATTTAGATCGTCAACAGGTGTTCATTAACACCTGGCCATATACAGTTGGCCATGTACAGTTGGCCATGTACAGTTGGCCATGTACAGTTGGCCATGTACAGTTGGCCATGTACAGTTGGCCATGTACAGTTGGCCATGTACAGTTGGCTATCAACGCCTGGCCATGTACAGTTGGCCATGTACAGTTGGCCATCAACACCTGGCCATGTACAGTTGGCCTCTCCAGCTAACACTGAACACACCGCCATGGCCATCAAATGGAAGGCCACCTTGTTGCCGCTAGACCCAACTGTGACTTGCATTAAAAAACCTCATGAGGGTGTGTATGTTGAAATAGCTTTTTAATGAGAGGTTATGTGTAACAAGTTGGAGGGGGGAGGTCGAGAATTGAGCCTACTACTGGAATCACCGAGGCATGACTGATGGACTGGGTAATAAACTTCGATAAATAACAGCCAGTCGATCAATTGATTGAGTCGACGTGTGCTAAGTCAATCGTTGGGAAATAGGACCCGGATACAGGCCGGGTTTCATATGGGGGGGGGGGACGGACCTCTGGTAGTCAGTCTACCGTGACACTAATGTAGTCAGTCTACCATGGAGTAAAGTATACAAACCTATACATAATTTATATAAACCTACCTTAGGATAAATTATACAAACCTACCACAAATGAAATATGCAAACCCACCATAGAATAAATTATAGAAACCCACCATAGAATAAATTATACAAACCTAACATAGAACAAATTATAAAAACCTACCATAGAACAAATTATATAAAAAGAACAAATTAATATTAGAATTATTTTGAGCTGTCTGGTCTTTAAAATAGCGACTAGAGGATAACTCTTTCAGTATATAAGAGATCCACAATAATATGGTTATTTCTCTTGATACGAGTGTGAGACTGAAGGTTTGGAGTGCAATGTTTCTCAAAAAGTTAAGCTCTTTGACGTAAGTTTTCTTTTTAAATAGTTTTTGTTTTCTCTGATTTTCTAGAACTGGAGTGTGGTCAGGAGAGTGACTGGCTGTCCAGGTGAGAGTGTCCAGGTGAGAGTGTCTGGCTGTCCAGGTGAGAGTGTCCAGGTGAGAGTGTCCAGGTGAGAGTGTCTGGCTGTCCAGGTGAGAGTGACTGGCTGTCCAGGTGAGAGTGACTGGCTGTCCAGGTGAGAGTGTCCAGGTGAGAGTGTCTGGCTGTCCAGGTGAGAGTGTCTGGCTGTCCAGGTGAGAGTGTCTGGCTGTCCAGGTGAGAGTGTCCAGGTGAGAGTGACTGGCTGTCCAGGTGACTTGCTGTCCAGGTGAGAGTGACTGGCTGTCCAGGTGACTGGCTGTCCAGGTGAGAGTGTCTGGCTGTCTAGGTGAGAGTGTCCAGGTGAGAGTGTCTGGCTGTCCAGGTGAGAGTGTCTGGCTGTCCAGGTGAGAGTGTCTGGCTGTCCAGGTGAGAGTGTCCAGGTGAGAGTGTCTGGCTGTCCAGGTGAGAGTGTCCAGGTGAGAGTGTCCAGGTGAGAGTGTCTGGCTGTCCAGGTGAGAGTGACTGGCTGTCCAGGTGACTGGCTGTCCAGGTGAGAGTGTCTGGCTGTCTAGGTGAGAGTGTCCAGGTGAGAGTGTCTGGCTGTCCAGGTGAGAGTGTCTGGCTGTCCAGGTGAGAGTGTCTGGCTGTCCAGGTGAGAGTGTCTGGCTGTTCAGGTGAGAGTGTCCAGGTGAGAGTGTCCAGGTGAGAGTGTCTGGCTGTCCAGGTGAGAGTGTCCAGGTGAGAGTGTCTGGCTGTCCAGGTGAGAGTGACTGGCTGTCCAGGTGAGAGTGACTAGCTGTTGTAACGTTTACCTATCCATCAGCCAGATAGATGGTGAACGTCCCCGGATTCTTTTTTCGGGGTTATATGCAAATGACTTACAGCCTAAATGAATGAATACTAACTCAACAACACACTAGGGCTCGAATTCGACGTCTAGGGAAAACTAGTGATACTATTGAAGTTAACACTCATCCAATCTGCATACAACCTTTAATAAGCGAACACAGTTGTGGCAGAACACTAGGTTAAACGAGATAAAATATTTAATTTAGAAAATAATAAAACCCAACTTACAAAGCGTAAGAAAAAACACTATCACAGATTTTAACACTGTATAAAAATAGCCACAGGTCACACAACACTGCTATAGCTTCAAGAATCACTTGGCGACAAGTAATATTACACTAGAAGACTAAAACAACTTAGGAATGCATAGCACACACAGGACTTAAGTTCTCTCACGTTCAAATGGTCAGAATCTATTGCCGGACAAAATGGACGGCTTGATCAAGGTAGACTGCCTCGTGTCCTGTATGTGTGTCCTCTAGTTAAAGACTTAGGCCACAGGGGAGGTCATCCTCAACTCATGTAGCCATTGGTTGGGATGGTCATCTGATCAGAATCAATCAATCAGATCTTGGTGGAAAATTTCTTAGTCTTAGACACCCTTAATAAGACAGTGGAAAAACCCCGGTAGTTGCACCATCAATCCATATAAGGTATTATACAATGTCAAAATAAAACATTACTGGACCTAAGTAGGTCACATCCCCTCCCTTTTTGGAAGTGACAGATAGGTTCCACAAAAACATACATAAGGAACCAATCTGGCAATGAAATAAAAAAAATGTTTTACAAATGTAGTCAATCAAAATCATAATACCAGATGAAAATATCCCTGAACATAAAAGGGAAGTAACTCAAACTTTTACAATTGGTGAAAGGGGAGTAACCCTTCAAAAAATAATTATACATCAAAATCCCTCAAAAAAGGGGTATTACAATATTTCCATGAGGATATTAAAAGTGGTAAACCCGCCAGGGTAAGACCTTTATTTCAATGACTAGCTACAATATCAACTGAGCCATGTGAGACATATTATCATAGAAGATTACATATAATCAAAACCCACCTTTAATTAAGGTTCACCTGAAAATAAACAAAATTTGTAACAGGATTGAAATTTTGAAAAATTCAAAACTCATACCACTCACATTCCTGTGAGCGTCACCCAAACAAAACTTGTGTATGGTCCTAATGAACCACAAAACATGTCACATGATCAATGTGCGTAATAAGATTTTACAACCTTGACAAACAATCAGCCACAACATTATCACTACCCTTAATGTGTGAAATTTCCAGATTAAAATTTTGGAAATATAAGCACCATCTCAATATTCTTTGATTTGTCTGTCCTAACTTAGAGGTAAATTTCAGGGGATCATGGTCAGAAAACACTCTGACTGGATTGGTTGAAGAAGAGACATAGACTTCAAAATGTTGTAAGGACAAAACCAAAGCTAAAGCTTCTTTTTCAATAGTAGAGTAATTCTTTTGGTTCTCATTTAACTTCCTGGAAAAAAAAGCAATGGGATGGTCAATCCCCATGTTATCTTCTTGAAATAGGACTGAGCCAATGGCTAAGTTGCTAGCATCAATGGCAAGTTTAAAGGGCTTGCTGAAATCTGGTGCAGCCATAACAGGAGCATTAGATAAAAATGACTTAATGGTTAAAAAAGCT